AGGATGAAAGCTACCCAGGAATCTGATGACCCCAGACACGAAATCCTGCCAACCAGTTCCATGACAATGCAGGAGTACATTCCTACTGAGATGATTTAGTTACGTGGGAAATTCTAGCAGAAAGGGAAGGAAACTATTGCAACTTGGTTACTATGTCTTTGGGATATCAGGGGAGATGGTGTCTCTTTAAATGAAGCCGATGCTGAGAAAATGAGCGGTATAACCATCATCCCACCCATCCCACCCTCCAAGAGCGTTTACACGCAGCTCAGAACACAGACGGCACACACACCCTTATAAATTGGATCATCTTGTGTTGCAGAACATGGTTGAATGAGGGGGACCTTCCTGGCATGGTGGGGAAGTGATCCTCCGTAAAGGAGTTACAGTGGTTAATTCAGAAGTTAGGCATGCACCATGCCATTTATGGAGAGCACTTCTGGGGGCCAGACAATGAGCTTTTCAATTCAGGAATGAAAGCAAGAATCCTGTAGGCAGCTCCTCCCTGCTGGTATGGCATGCTGGTGGCTATTGTTAGTCCTTTAGTGGGAGTCATGGATTGAATTGTGTCCCCCCAAAATATCTGTCAACTTGGCTAGGTCATGATTCCTAGTATTGTATGATTGTATAATCTGATGTGATTTCTTTATGTTTTGTAAACTCTATCACTAGGATGAAGTTATACTGATGATGTCTACAAGATTGGATAGTGTCTTAAGCCAATCTCTTTTGAGATACAAAAGACAGAAGTGAGCGGAGACACATGGGAATCTCACATCACCAAAAAAGCAGTGCGGGCACCAGAGCGTGTCCTTTGGACCTGAGGTTCCTGTGCAGAGAAGCTCCAAGAACAAGGGAAGACTGATGCATCACAAGGACCTTCCTCCAGAGCCGACAGAGAGAAAGACTTCCCCTGCAGCTGATGTCCTGAATTTGGTCTTGTAGCCTACTGAATTGTGAGAGAATAAATTTGTCTTTGTTAAAGCCATCCACTTGTGGTATTTCTGTTAGAGCAGCACTAGATAACTAAGACAGTGGGCCAGACAGTGTACCAGGTGGGACAAGCCACAACTGATTTGGGTGAAACCGAGAAGGCTAGAGAGAAGGGGGTGCAAGCTGTGGGAAAAGAGAAAAGCAAGACTGAGAAACATGGGAGACTACTGTCCAAGGGCCCCGTGAAAGTGACCCTAAAGCAGGTGTGGATGGACTTAGTGGCTGATGGAACGACAGTTGACAATATAGATAAGCAACCGAATGCATTGTTAGTTAGGCTTTGGAAAAATCTGAAGCTGAAGCAACAGTATCACCCTCTGGATCCTACTGCCCCTTGTGAGTAAGTGCCCCTTGCCACTAGGTGGACTCCACCCATCCCTAGGGATTAGGGGTGGGGCTGAAGTCACCCGCAGTTCAGGGCCCTGAAGGAGGACCAGAGGCCCCATGTAGATGTCACAAGAAATTTTTGAAAAACAAACAAGCAGCTTGTTGATACTGGGGCCGAATGCACCCTTACCTTTGGAAACCCTGAGTGGTTTCAAGGACCCCCCCCCCCAGCAGTTGATGGGTATTGTGGACAGTAAATCCTCGTATACCAGGTACTTCTGTCCCTCAAGTAGGACGCACCCCACTAAACTGTGTCAAGTTTATATTTCCCCAATACCAGAATACATTCTAAGGGTGAATGTCCTCATGGGACTGAATTTGACCAGGTCTGTGGGAGAATTCCAACTGCAAGTGAGGGTGGTAAAAGCAGCCCTGAGGGGGAATGTGGTATGAGTACCAGTGACCCTGCCCCCACCACAAAAGGTAATAGACATGAAGCACTATACGTTACTCAGAAGACAAGAAAATTAGTGAAACTATTTTGGAATTAGAAAGAGCAGGTATCCTCCGGGAAGCCCACAGTGCTTTTAATAGCCCTGTGTGGCCTGTGAAGAAAGTAGATAGGGCTGATGTATGACCATGCACTACAGAGAACTTAACAAGATGATCCCTCCCATACATACTGGAGTCTCAAACGTAATTTCCTTGTTAGAAACACTTAGTAGAGACATAGGTATGTATCAAGCTGCATTGTTGTTGTTGTTAGGTGCTATTAAGACAGTTCCAACTCACAGCGACCCCATGTACAACAGAACAAAATACTGCCCAGTCCTGTGCCATCTTCACTATCGTTGTTATGCTTGAGCCCATCGTTGCAGCCACTGTGTCAATCCATCTTGTCTAGGGTTTCCTCTTTTTCACTGACCCTCTACTTTACCAAGCATGATGTCCTTCTCCAGGGACTCATCCCTCCTGATAACATGTCCAAAGTATGAGACATAGTCTCACCATCCTTGCTTCTAAGGGGCATTCTGGTTGTACTTCTTCCAAGACAGATTTGTTCATTCTTTTGGCAGTTCATGGTATATTCAATATTCTTTGCCAACACCACAATTCAAAGGCATCAATTTTTCATTCATACTGTGTTAGATCTGGCCAATGCTTTCTTTAGCATCCCTCTAGCTCCACCCACCCAGGACCAGTTTGCCTTCACCTGGCAGGGGCAGCAATGGATACTTCACGTGCTCCCCCAAGGATATCTACACAGTCCCACTATTTGTCATGGTAGGGTTTTTAGAGATCTGACTCTTTTCCCCTTCCCCACTGCTGTCCATTGATTTCATTACATGATGACATCATGTTAACTGCTGAAGATGTTTCTCTGATACAGAAAACAACCAAGGTTCCCTTGTCTTCCTCAAGTCCCCCCCTCCATCTCCCTCCAAGTCCTCCTCTCACATAGTGGGCTGGACTCCTGTGTCCCACTGACAATGGGTAATAATACCTAATACCACTGACTGGTTGCCATATAAACACCCCAGCTGGAAGGCAGGAGCATAACTCCCTCCTAATGGCACCTGATAGCTCTGTGGCCACTACCTGTGTCCCTGGTTACCATAGGATTGACTAGGGTGCTGCACTTTGGGGTTACCCTATGCTGCAGGGACCATCAACAAAACTATACCAGAACCTCTGAAGTACAGCATAGTGAAAGCCAGGTGGAACAAGTGTAGTCTTTTCCACCGGTATGATTACCTTTTGACTGTTTTTAATCCCCCCATGGGCTCCTTAGAAGTAATGGGACAAAATACAGCCCTAACTAATTTTACTAAACATGTCTCGAATGACAACAGACAAAGCTTGCGGCTATTAACTGCTGAAACCACACAAATGAGGAAGGTAGTCTTTCAGAAATGAATGGATCTGGACATTCTAACAGCCGCTCAAGGAGGGACATGTGCCATAGTAAAAAACTCAATGTTATACCTACATACCATATGACCACCAGAATATAACTGATCTGTTAGGCCACATAAAGAAACAGATAGAAGCCCTGGACACACCTGACAGCTGGCCTGCTTTGGCAGCCTGGTTTTCCTCTTTCCTTTCTAGTTGGCATGGTGTTTTGATGGCTCTTGGTCTTTGCCTGGGTTTAGGGATTGTCTGCTGTGTTTATCGATACTGCTGGTGAGGTCTGTGCCTCCAACTACAGCAACACTGTCTGGTCCAATAGTGACTTCTCTTCTTGGGGCTCTCAGGGGCTTTGCAGAAGAGGGGGAATGCATCAGATTGTAAGAGCTGGCCTCGAGGGTGCTCTGAAGGGGAAAATGGGCTTTGCAAGGCCTAACATGGCTGCCCTCATGCTTTCTGTTAGTTCACAGCTGTTTCTGTTATTTCACTGCTATTTTCCAAGTCCTTGTTATGTGCCTTTGCTGAGGCAGCCTTGTAACTCCCTGGCCTGTAGCCACTTTTGCCTTTGACCACTATAAAACCTCCCACTTACACCCCCCTGCTTGGTGCAGAGATCTGCTTTGGTCCTTGAGCCACCAGGGACCACCTTGTTTTTAAGACTTTCTCGTAAAACTCCTACGTCACCACACGAGTTGCCTGCCTCTTTCTTCAGGCTCTCGGCACCCTCCAATTTTGGAGGCAAATTTGAAGTTACTCGTCCATGCCTGGACATTTGGTAATAAAAAGTAATGCTACAAATGGATGAACCTTGAAAACATTATACTAAGTGGAAAAAGGTAGTCACATATCTCATGATTCCATGTATATGAAACTTCCAGAAGTGGCAAATTCGTAAAAACCAAAAGTAGATTAGTGGTTGCCAGGTGTTAGCAGAAGGGAGGAATGAGGAGTGACTGCAGATGGATATGGCATTTTTGGGGGAGTGATTGAAAATGTTCTAAAATTGTTTGTGATGATGGTTGCACAACTCAGTGAATATACTAAACTAAAGACCATTGAATTGTAAACTCTAAATAGGTGAATTGTATGGTGTCATGGATTGAGTTGTGTATCTATGAGGTTAATGAGATGGGATTAGTGGCAGTTATGTTAATGAGGCAGGACTCAATCTACAAGATTGGACTGTGTCTTGAGCCAATCTCTATTGAGATATAGAAGAGAGAGGCGAGCAGAGAAACAACGGGACCTCATACCACCGAGAAAGCAGCATCAGGAGCAAAGCATGTCCTTGGACCCAGAGTTCCCACATGGAGAAGCTCCTAGACCAAGGGAAGGTTGATGACAAAGACCTTCCTTCAGAGCCAACAGAGAGAAAGCCTTCCTCCAGAGCTGGCACCCTGAATTCGGACTTCTAGCCTACTAGACTGTGAGAGAATAAACTTCTCTTTGTTAAAGCCATCCACTTGTGATATTTCTGTTACAGTAGTACTAGATGACTAAGACATATGGTATATGTGAATTATCGCAGTAAAGCTATTTAAAAAATAATTAATATCATTCTAGAATCACCTAAATTAGAGGAGGCGGGGCCAAGATGGCGGAGTAGTCAGATAGGGCTTCCTATATCCCTCTTACAACAAAGACCTGGAAAAACAAGTGATTTGATTGTATATGAATACCTAGGAGCCCTGAACAAGGCAAAGTCGAGGAATCGGACTGAGTGGTGGGGGGAGAGGGAGATGGTTTGGAAGAAGTGAGGAGTGCCAGACCGGACTCGGCAGGAGCCGCAGCTCTTCAGCCCGGACTGGCTCGGGGTACGCAGTGAAGCGGGCATACAGCTCTGTGCGCACGCTCTGGAGGCAGTTTCCACATCGAGAGAGATCCAGCAGCAGAGATCCTGCTTGGACACTCCAAACCAGTGAAAAGCAGCTCCCAAGTGGCTAAAGATAGGTACATGCATATGGCCTTTCATGGGGATTTAAAAAAAAAAAAAAAACCCATTTGGGAAAAACCTCTTTCCCATTTACCTCCTCCCTCCCTGCTCTGCACTGGTCCAGCTGGCTTCCTAGATCTCTGAGTCCCCTGGGCGAGAAGTAGATCCCATAAAGCACCCTGACCCATTCTCCTGGACTTGGAGAGGGAACAAATTAACAAACAGGGAAAAAATAAGCTACTGGCTCCCCTAACCCAGGAACTCACAGTTGGTACAGCTCCTTTGCCTAGGCACAGGCATAAGAGGTCCGCAGACTTTGAGTGCCTTCCACCCCTGTATAGACTTGTGTGGACCCATCTCAACAGCGTAAGCCCTCACTACCACAGTACAACAGAGTAAACACCTGAAGTCTAACTTCAACTGTTTCAGCTGTGAAGTGGCAGATTTGTGACGCTTGACACTGCTCTACGCTTTAAGCAAGCACCTTACTGGTCTGCATTAGGGGCTTGAGGACTGGTGGCTCCACCCACACCACCTAGCCACCTGCTACAGGGGTCCAAGAATAAGTGGTGCCCCCGAGTCTCTATAGCTAACAGAGTAGGGTGCTCATAGTCCAGCTGCAAAACTCACCTACCTACTTGCTCTAGGGAACAGGGACATGCTTTCCTTTCAGACACTTAAGGGCAGCCATCAGACCCCTGCCTTGCTCAGAGTGTGACCCCCTACTGTAGCCAGATCCCTGTGCCTACACCAATCACCCATGCCTCTCTAAGACTGTAGGTGACAGTTTTCACCCCACACTTGGTGGCCAACTGCCTAGACACCTGAGCTGAATCTATACAGGAAAATTTAAAGGACTCCTGTGTGCACATACTTAGTTACAGAACTAACTACTTGGTGACAGGACATTAGAGCTTCAAAGGCACCAATAATCAAACTAGTGAACACGAGCAGCCTATTTGGGCATATCAAAACAAAACAAGAAGCTAGGACACACTAAACAAATATAAAATAAAATTATAATAACTTATTGATGGCTCAGAGACAACAGTCAATAACAAATCACATAAACAGGCAGTCCATGATTGCTTCAGCAAGCTCCCAAAATAAAGAATCAATAAATTCTCTGGAGGAAGACAATTTCTTGGAATTACCAGAGGCAGAATACAAAAGATTAATTTACAGAACTCTTCAAGAAACTAGAGATGAAATTCATCAAAATGTAGAGACAGCCAAACAACACACAGACAAAGTAGTAGCAGAACTTTAAAAAGTTATTCAAGCACACGATGACAGATTTAATAGGCTGCAAGAATCCATAGAGAGACAGCAGTCAGAAATCCAGAAGATTAACAATAGACTTTCAGAATCTGACAACTCAATAGAAAGTCGTAGGAGCAGAATTGAGGCGGTAGAAGTCAGAATTAGTGAGATTGAAGATAAAGCACTTGACACCAACTTATTTGAAGAAAGATCAGATAAAAGAATTAAAAAGAATGAAGAATCTCTAAGAGTTATGTGGGACTCTATCAAGAGAAATAACCTACAAGTGATTGGAGTACCAGAACAGGGGGACATAACAGAAAATACAGAGAAAACTGTTGAAGATTTGTTGACAGAAAACTTCCTTGATGTGGTGAAAGATAAGATGTCTATCCAAGATGCTCATCGAACCCCACATAAGGTAGATCTCAAAAGAAAGTCACCAAGTCATATTATAATTAAACTTGCCAAAACCAAAGATAAAGAGAGAATTTTAAGAGCAGCTAGGGATAAAAGAAAAGTCGTCTACAAAGGAGAGTCAATTAGAATAAGCTCGGACTACTCAGCAGAAACCATGCAGGCAAGCAAGAAGGCAATAAGATGACATATATAAAGCCTTGAAGGAAGACAACTGCCAGCCAAGAATTATATATCCAGCAAAACTGTCTCTCAAATATGATGGTGAAATTAGGGCATTTCCAGATAAACAGAAGTTTAGGGAATTTGCAAAAACCAAACCAAAATTACAAGAAATACTAAAGGGAGTCCTCCGGTTAGAAAATCAATAACATCAGCTAACAACGCAAGACTAGAACACAAGACAGAGCAACCAGATATCAACTCAGATAGGGAAGCCGAAAATACATCAAAGCTAAAACATTGAAAATAGGGAAACAGAGATATCAATATGTAAAAAAGGACAACATTAAAACAAAAAAGAGGGACTTAAAAAATGTAGACATAGATTTTTCATATGGAGGGGAAGTCAAGGTGATATAAAGAAATAAAAGACTGGTATAAACTTAGAAAAATAGGGGTAAATATTAAGGTAACCACACAGAATCACCTAAATTATTAATCAACCAAGTTTCTAGTTTTTTTGATACTCTCTTGAATGCTTTTTTGTAACCCTGATTTACCCTAGCGTTTAGTCACTCTTTAAATAATTACTCATTAACAGAAACACTCCTGCCAAAACGTTCCACATGTTGATAATCTCCAAGCTAATAGGTCATAGAGATAAATACACGGTTTTGAAAGAGAAGCAATGCATTAAAGACATTGTAGACATTGGCTTAAGCCATATTTTCAAGAATGACTTGGCATTTTGAGGTTTTATTCCCCTAACTTGCCCAGAGTTTAACCTTCAGCATCATGCAAGGAATGTCCACCGAGCTTTGAAAGGCTTTGCCCATTTTCTGCATAGTGTTGAAACAGTTTGATTGACCAAATAAGTTAGATTCTGATGACTGTCATTTAATTCCTAATAATTACAAGTACAACTTAATAATTACATGTTGTAATGCAGAATCCTCTTTACGGGGACATTTTGGGATGAAAAGTGAGAAAAAATGCAGGTAAGCTCCATAGAAAGTGCAATCACTACAGTGTGGTTTTTCAGTATGATTGAATACTCCTCATTGACATATCTGTCTCTATCTCTATTGTTGTTGATGTTGCTAGGTGCCATTGAGTCAATTTTCAACTCATAGCAACCCTATAAGACAGAGTAGGACTGCCCTATAGGGTTTCCAAGGCTGTAATCTTTACAGAAGCAGACTGCCACATCTTTCTCCTGTGGAGCCACTGGTGGGTTCAAACTGCCAAACTTCTGGTTAGCAGCCAAGCGCTTAACCACTGCACCACCAGGACTCCTTTTTCTCCTGACATAGGAGGCTTCTATTTCAAGCCTGTTGCTCCTTGAAACCAGCCCAGTTCTGTTCATCATCTCTACCCCTCTCTTTACGCAGTAGCTATAGCCAATTATCCAACTTGTTAAAAAAGAAATTAACAGATGTTAAAGAAGGCTGGTAATGGTGTTTGGGGCCTATCTAAGACTTTTTCTCTGGTGCAAGTGCATTGCAAAAGACAATTCTGGCATGAAAGATAGGGAGTGTTCTGAAGCCTTTGATAATTGTAAACACTCAAATACACACACACACATATTTTCATTTTCCAAAGTAACTCTGGGAACTGTAGGTCAGGGATCAGCAAACTTTTTCTCTAAAGAGCCAAAAAATAATTATGCAGGCATTACAGACCACATAAGTCTCTGTTACATATTATATACGGTGTTGTTGCTGTTTAACATCCCTTTAAAAATGTAAAAACTATTCTTAGCTCTTGGTCATTCTGGCCAGATTTGGCCCACAGGCTGTAGTTTGTTGACCTCTGGCTTAGGGCCCAGGAAAACTGCAGGGGACAGAGTTGCAAGAATGCATTTGAACCAGGACTGTCCTCCCAGCTCTTGACCCCTTGGGCAAGCTTTCCCTCTGTCTCCTCAACAGGACGTGTAGGCTCATTCTATGATTCTGAGTCTCTCCTCAGACAACCTAGCACCAGCCCTGTCTTCATTTAAATCCTCTGCATCAACTCAGCCTCAGATGTCTTACCACCCCCTCTACTCCCCACCTGCAGCCCCTTTCCCCTTTATTGAAAGGAAAGCTGCCATTTCTTCAGGCAGCCCTCCTAGATGGACTGGAGAGGCTGACTGAGTGAGGGGAGACAGAGTACATATGAATGATTTCTGCCTACATTCTAAGAAACAGGGCAAACAAAAATAGGTAAAACCACCAACCTGAACTAGGCGTCCCACCTTCTTGCAGCTGGTCCCTCCAATGAAGACCATGTTGGGCATGACTGGCCTGGGGTACTCGAACACGAAGTCATACCTTAACAGCCAAATGGAGACCTTCTGATATAATGTGACTAAGTCCACATCTCTCTTGAGGAGATTTGAAGTGAGATTTTGGTACTTTGAAAACAAAAGGTAAAGCAGAGGGGTCTCCAACAAATCAGCAAGGAAGTTGGCCACCCGTTGGCGGAAAGTCATCTGGTCAGAGAACTGAGTATAGTACCTGGGAATATAGGACACAGGGCTTGGGCTTCCACTGAACTTGTACTCCAAGGCACACGGGAAGCCCCGGAAGAGATACACAGAGGGCAGGCCCAGGTACTCAGCCAGGATCACACCACAGGGCAAGGCTGGGTCTGTGAAAAGGGCATCGAACTTACTCTCCCTGAGGAACTGCAGGGTCTCCGAGTCCTTCAGGAGGCTCTTGCAGTTGATGAAGTACATGTTGACAACAATCATGACATTCCTGTACTCTGTCTGAGGGGTGCTTAGGTAAGATCTCCCAGCAAAATGGCTGTTTCCGAAAGAGCGGAAACGGTCCTTCAGTTCTTCCCCTGGGTATGGCACTGGATAGACTTTTCTTGTGTAGTATTTGGATTCCCTCAGAAGCAAATTAACTTCTGGCACCACCACCACAATGTCATGCCCCCTCTTGCTGAGAAGCTCAACTATCTCCTTCATACTAAGCCAGTGGCTTCCATCCTGAGGAACAACCAGCAGCTTCTCACCTCCAATCACACTCCAAAGTGCTAACAAGAAAACCCCAGCAGAAGCCCTCTGAAATGCTTGCAGAAGGCAGGCCATGCTGGAGGGGGTGAAAGTAAAATAACAACGATGATGTTGAATCATTTACACTGCCTAAACCACAGGCTTCCTAATGATCTTCCCTAAACTAACCAGTATTCGTCCCAAACCCAGCCTACCTCTCCCTTGCTCTGAATTTTGCCCTTTGATATGAAAGAAACAATAATTAATATTTAACTGTTTCTAAGCACCCAGCTAGCTTGGACCAATGAGGTCCCTTAGCAGCTTGCGCCTGAACTTCTAGCTTTGTTTTTCTCTTTGTCGCTATCATCTATCTGTCTCTGCCTCTCCAAGGAGGAAGCGTGGCAGTTTGACAACACATTGGGAAGGCCTCCAGAGGTCTACTATGCTACATCCTGAGCTCCCCAGAATCCACCTCATCAGCGATGTCTGCAAGTGAGCAGCTATCACTACGTATCAACTTTCTTACCAAATTTCTCAGAGTGAAAAGGAAGAGTTATCTTAACAGATTCAAGACTACACAATGGTGTCACACACCTCAAGTTCTAGTGATCACAACAAGGGAGAGATTGAAACGTGGGCAGAGGCATGAGGAGTGGATGGAAGAAGTTGGATAGAACTTCCCACCCATACTCGTCTTGCATAAACCATTGCTGTTGGTAGGATTTCCGTTACCTGCAGCCAAGTCTACTCCTCACAGATATACCCTCTGTTGTTATTGTTACTTGCTGTTGAGTCAGTTCTGACTCACAGAGACCCCATGTGTCACAGAGTAGAACTGAGCTCCACAGGGTTTTCTTGGCTTTAATCTTTACGGAAGTAGTCCCTGGGTGGTGCAAATGATTGTGTTCAACCACTAGCCAGAAGGTTGGCAGTTTGAACCCACCCAGAGGTGCCAGGAAAGACAGGCCTGGTGCTCTTCTACTGAAAAGTCACAGCCTTGAAAACGCTGTGGAGCAGTTCTACTCTGCACTCGTGGGGTATGAACTGAAAGGCCCTTCGGCAGCCATAAAGTCGCTCCTAAAAACAGGCTCAATGAGCCTGCCCTACCCTGGGAAAGCGAGGCAAGGCAGGGAGGGTGAAGGGGGAGTAGGTGGGGGAGATGGAGAGGGAGAGATGAATGAGAAAGAGATTGGGGGAGGGAGATAAGAGAGAAAGAGATTGAGAGAGAGAGAGACGGAGAGAAAGGGAGGGAGAGAGGAGCAGTGAACAGGAACAGAAGAGGAGGCTGAGAAAATAACAGAGGGGAGAAAGTGTAGAAATTAGAAACAGTGGGAAAGTCGCAGGGTTAAAGACAGGGAGGGTGGGTGACCTGTGTCCTACCTGCTCACCTCGTGGCTGAGGGTGGCCCAAGAGGGTGGTGGCTGTGGAAAGCAGGCCGTCTAAGTGATAGGTGGTTCTGAAAATTCTGGAACAGACTCGCCCACAGCTAGTCACACACCAGCTGCACAGCCTCACGGCCGAGCTGGCACACAAGGGCCTGTCCTAACCTGGCCCCTTGGAGCAGGATGTATGTTGCCCGAACAGGAAGGAGAAGAAGCTTGAGGAACACGGCTTAAGAAGCCACCCCATGCACAGGGCTGGCCCCAGAATTGCAGCCAGGATGTAAATGCATTGTTCAGGGCATGGGCAGGGGGTAGAAAGGCTGCTCAATGCCAGCTGGCTGCAGGCCTCAGGTGCTCCCTCCTGGCGAGGGCTCCTGCAGGGTATCCTGCTCACAGTGGTCACGGCTAGCAGGTGGCAGCATCCTGGTCTGGGTCTAAACAGCAGCAATACCCCAAACCCTTTGCCGTCGAGTGGATTCCAACTCATAGTGACCCTATAGTAGAACCGCCTCATAGGGTTTCCAAGAAGCGGCTCTTGGATTCGAACTGCTGACCTTTTGGTTAGCAGACGAGCTCTTAACTACTGCACCACCGGCGCTCCAGTGACCCTATAGGACAGAGTAATACAGCCCCATAGGTTTTCCAAAGCTATAATCGTTTCGGAAGCAGACTGGCACATCTTTCCTCCCGGAGCAGCTGGTGGATTGGAACCACCAATCTTTTGGTTAGCAGCCGAGCACTTAACCACTGCGCCACCAGGGTTCCTTTTAGAAAGCCCCCAGGACACTCCAAAGGGAGCACAGTGCAGGCCCCTGGAGCAGGCAGGAGTGAGGCAGGGCTCTGAGAACAGGGCATGGAGGGAGGGCAGCTTCAGCCAGGTGTGGAGAGAGACGAAAAAGGCACTACAGACCCCAGGTTCTTCATGCCAGGCCCCCCTGTGTAAGCCTGTCCTCCTAAAATGGAATTTCATAAGGACTCAGGGAAACCCAGCAGGCCGAGGACCTGGCATCGGCTCTTACTAGCAAGGTCTAGTCTTTGTGTAGCTGAACTAGAGGCTAGAGAAAAGCAGAGCCCAAAGGAGCTTACATCAAAGAAAGAGAACAAACACCACTTTACACGACATCAGCAGAGATGCCACCTTGCAAAGTAAGAGAGAGGAAAGCATTTTCCTTTGTCCTTAGGAAATTTGACTTTACTGTTTCTAAGAATAATGTGTGTGTGCACGTGTGTGTGTGCACGTGTTTATGTATGCATGTATGTGCTCATGTGTACCTTATGAGTGTACATGTGTGCATATGTGTGTATGTGTTCATATGTGAATTGCGTATTGTGTGTGCATGTGTGTATCTGTACGCATGTATGTGTACGTGTGTGCGTGCATGTGCATACGTGTGTGTATTGTGTAGGTATGTGTATGTATATACATGTGTATGTGCATATATGTGTGCAGTGCATGTATTGTGCTGTGTGTGTATGTGTGCATGTATGTGTGTGTGTTTCTGTGAGTACGAGCAGCCAATAGAAATGGGACTAAAGCTCCACTTGCTGCCGGCACCCACTGCCTTTCTATCCTATGCCTTAAAGCCCCAAACCAACCCCGGGAGCAGCCAATACACAAATATCCCCTCCTGGAGTGGTCTTCCTCCTGCCATTCCCCCACACCACTATCTACACTTCTGTTATCATCTTCTCTGGAAGGAAGCTGCCTAAGCTTGGGTCAGAGGACTGGAAAAATATATGAGGAGAACAAAAAATCCTATTGTAGATGTTTGGCCTTGCGGATGCATAATAAAAGTGAGGGTAGCATCTTTCCCTTCACTTGGCTGCGACGTACAGCAACTATGCTGAAAAGTCCTGAGAAGTGAAAAAAGCCAGGCCATGGAGAATAGACTTGATTTTGAATTGTAGCTTGACTAAAATACAAGACATAGGCAGACATTTCTGTTTTTCCTGTCCCACAAGTTCCTTTCTATTCCTAAAGGGAATGGCATGCAGCCAGTGTCTTTCTTCCTCTTAAAACAACCTTCTGAGGCCAAAATCCTTTGGCACACCACCCCATTCCAACTATTTTCATTCATTCAGCAAATGTGCTCCCAGTGCTAGGCTGGGTACCGGAGATAAGGCAATGAAAAGCCAAATATGAGTCCCGCCTCAGGGATCTTAGGCAATAGTGAGGTGGGATTTGCGCTATACAGAGAGTTGTACAAGCAATTCATTAAGTGCAGTTGTGAAAAGTGCTAAAAAGGACACCAGGTGCCACCAGTGCCTCTAATGGGAGCGTGCAACCTTATCTGGGGATACTGGAAAGTTTCCCAAAGGAAGTGTCATTTAAACCAAAATTGAAAGGATAAGTGAGTTTAGCTTCACTGTGTATGGAGAAAGAGGATTCCAGGTAGGGTGACGACCCTATAAACAGCGGGATCAGACTGCTGTGATCCATATGGTTTTCGTTGGTTGATTATCAAAAATTAATCACCAGGTCCTTCTTCCTAGTCTGTCTTACTCTGGAAGCTCTGCTGAAACCTGTTTAGCATCTTTCTGGTATTCTCAGCGTTCAGCCAAGATCCATCTGACATCAGCAATGATGTCCCTTGTTCCACAACCTCTTCTGAATCCAGCTTGAATTTCTGGCAGTTCCCTGTAGATATACTGCTACAATCGTTTTTGAATTATCTTCAGCAAAATTTTACTTGCATCTGATATTAATGATATTGTTCAATAATCTCCACATCCTGTTGGATCGCCTTTCTTTGGAATGGGCACAAATATGGATCTCTTCCAGTCTGTTGACCAGGTAGCTGTCTTCCAAATTTCTTGGCATAGACAAGTGAGTGTTTCCAGTGCTATATTTGTTTGTAGAAACATCTCAGTTGGTATTCCATCAACTTCTGGAGCCTTGTTTTTTGCCGATGTCTTCAGTGCAGTTAGGACTTCTTCCTTCAATACCATCGGTTCTTGATCATATACTACATCCTAAAATGGTTGAAAATCAACCAATTCTTTTTGTACATTCACTCTGTGTATTTCTTCCATCTTCTTTTAATGCTCCCTGCATTATTGAACATTTTGCCCATAGGATCTTTCAATAATGCAACTCGGGGCTTGAATACTTTCTTCAGTTCTTTCAGCTTGAGAAATACCAAGAGCTTTCAAAGGTTACAGCCTTAGAAACCCTATAGAGCAGTTCTACTCTGTCCTATACGTTGCTATGAGTTGGAATCAACTCAGTGGCAACAGGTTAGCACTGAACACCAAGGAGCCCTGGTGGCCCAACGGTTATGTGCATGGCTGCTAACCTAAAGTCTGGTGGTTCTAACTCACCCAGTGGCTCCATAGGAGAAAAGACCTGTTGATCTGCTCCTGCAAAGATTACAGCCTAGAAAACACTATGTGGCAGTTTTACACTGTCACATGGGGTCTCTATAAGTCAGAATCGACTCACCAGCACACAACTACATACATATACACACACATATATAACAACCTGTGAAAGCTGGAACCTGTGTAAGTGGGAAACCTGTCAGAGAAGGAAAACTCAAGCATTTCCCACTAATAGAGGGTGATAGAAAAGTGGTACCCTGCACCCTGTCAAAGACACTATGCACAGTCATTCGACTCTGTGGATCATAACAAACTACAGATAACATTGTGAAGAATGGGAATTCCAGTACACTTAATTGTCCTCATGAGGAACATGTACATAGATCAAGAGGC